GTTAGATAAGCCAGTCAACATACATATGTCCGCAGAGTCAATTGCCAACAATGGTAGTTTCGTATTTGGGCGCCCTGTTACGTGCCAACAATGTCAAGCAAAATAAAAGCGAATAAGCAGACGAGTCTTTGAGGTGTGGTTTGTGCGCGTCGCAAAACTTGACCATTGGCACATGGCGCACGATGATTGAGTAACAAACATCCCCAAAATTCTAGATTTCGAGCAGTGGCGAACCAAGCTTGTCCTATTCATACCTTCTTCCTTACCGAGTTTTGTCATAAAAATGAAAAAAAGTTCCATCCTTGCTAGGGAAATATCATCAATGCATCTAAAAAGCAACGTAGAATGAACACTTCCTCGCGGAATATCCACTGTGACGTCTCAAAAACGGCGTAAAACGTACAAGTTCGTGCGGCCTTTCTCCATGCACTAACAGATTTGCTCACTTATTCCTTAGCATAGTAACAGAATTATTCCGATCGTGCGTTGTTACTATTTCAACCTGCGGAACTTACATGCGATTGATATTATAGATCAAAAGATCTAATAGACGTCCAAGCAACGGGTAGCGTCCCAGTTCCTGGTTCCTCTATGATTATGGGTGCATTCGTTGTTGCACTCGAAAGCAAGCCTGGCATATGATGACTACTGCTGTATATTGGGAAGCTGCTTGCTTAGGTTCGAATTCCAGCGTCATTCGTTTCCACAGTCTTAGAATAGCGCGTTAACACATCCTTCCGATGTCGGCATTTGTCAGTTTTATAAAATATGGACATGCGAAAGACGTATGTACTGTACCCTTGGCAATGGGTCGTGCACTTCGTATGTAGGTCCGCAGTTCGCTACAACGCATAAATAGAATCACTGACATATGGCCTTGTGTAAACTAGGCGCAAATTATACGTCTGCGGTAATAAGCGTCCTGTGAAATATTATCGTGTCATATGTAGAAAATTTGGGGCTATATAGGACCAAACGCTATCACTGGCAAAAAGCGTTGCCACAGGAGAAGAAACGAATTCACTGTGGAAGATTGAGAAATAATAAATCATTAGTCTTCGAGAGATCGTCAGTTAGAGATATTTGTGAAGATAATCCACACAGCTATACCTGGCGAGAGCTATTAATGGTGCCGTAAAAAGAAGCCAATCTTAGTGATTGGAACAGCCAAGCTTCAATTATTTTCGTAAAGGAAGTAGTACATTTATTTGGACAACACAGTTAAATATGGTTGACTCGCTAACACAACCGGAACAAACGAGTTCGTTCAAAAATTGGTTTACTGATATTGAATAACGGATGATTTACGGGCTCTGTTCCCTGCTCTATACAATAGAATGGCAATCGTAAATGGAACCAGCCGTAATGGAGACAGACTCTCTCTCTCTCCTATTTGAATGACGCTCCGTGATGTTCCAATGCCCCCGATTGATTGCTAGCCTCCGTCATTGTAAGAAAAGATCCATGTTCTGTAAATATGCTCTCATTAAGCGGAAAGGGACCTTCGTTCTTTCCGTATTTGCTAAATGATTAATTGTACACAGTTTCATGTCGTAGATCCTGATTCTTCTATTATAAGAGATCTTAAAATGTGAAATCAAGGTTCGTTAGCTATAAAAGACGGAGTGGCTCACATAGCCCACGCTCTCTTCGCTCTTTGCTACCTGTTACTTCCAGTGACATCGACAATGGACGGCCTAATAATCGACCTATTTACTCCAAATGGGAATCCTTTTTTAGATTCTAACACAAGATCCTTCTCTTCGGCATAGTGTTGTTATTTACTATGTTGATAAATAGCAATCGTTGTACGACTGAACGAGGCCAATACGCATGCACTTTACGGCGGGGTGGATCTTAGAGCTATGTTTTGGATATATCCGTGGATTTTGCCGAACGTGACCACCCGATGAGGTATACTAGTCGGTATAAGCGTATCAATTGAAAGGCGCTTGATTTTTCACTGCAGCAGGCTACACAAGACTACAGAGCCTGTGGCAGCGTGTAGAGTTGTATCTAAAAGAAGATGTCTCACTACTACAGCCGCTCTGAGTAACACAATGTCCGGCCACCATGCCCGAGACCAGATTCAGCATCCATATAGTGCACGTTCCATGTACTATTTATAAAACACATGTAAAAATAGAGCACACACGTAGAATTTTTCTTCAATGGGTGGTCCCATTGAATCTAGCAATATCTGTGACAGCCTGAGCGGATATAATTACCTACTACTACTACTACTACTACTACTATCTACGTGTCAGACACACCCGTCAGCTGCTCTCGCTCGCGAATCATCGGTCATATAGTTGTGAATGATATCTTTGTGATTTGCTAGTAACAATATGTTACATTATTTCTAAAGCTTTTGCGGACCGACCAGTATAGTCGTCCTACAACAACCCAGATTGCGGGTTTACCGCATTAATAGAAATGTATGAATCACTAATCTGTCCTTCAAAGAACTGTGCCGAGTTCGGTATCTAAGTAAAAAATGCATCTAGCGCTACCGTTAGCGGTAATTCATTTTTGAAAAAGCTTTAATTTCTGCACTGTCGCATTGATTCATTAAAGCACGTTTATTTAAATTTCTAAATCTACGTAACTATGATTCTGATTCGTATTCAGCGGGCCATATCCTGTTGCGACAGTCGTTTTATATTCACATCAGATGTTCATAACTATATATTTGTCATAATTTTCATAGAAATTCAAAGAATAATTGCGTTCAGAGCGAGCGCGGGATTTTTCGAAACGGGTGATAAGTTTAGTTGGGGAACCCGTACGTCCTAATCACGATATTAATGATATTTTCAAGGTTTTTTTTCATGATAATAAAGCGACAATTCTTATCGTCAAATAGTTACCTTATGTCCGTAATGCCCTCAGTGTTTGTTATTATCATTATTATTATTATTATTATTATTGACTCTGGTACAAATTCCACTTGAAGCGTCCTAATTGAATGCATTCTGCGGCTATATCAGGACCTCTGGTTCCATCACAGAAATGAAAAAACTGCGATGTGAGACGATACGTAACTTACCATGTCTAAGTTACTGCTTTCCCGCACCCTAGCTTCCCAGCACGTAATGCTGCATCGCAAAATCTCTCTGCTAATGTCTTCTTGCTATAATCCGAATGGCGTCGCTCTGGTTCCTCTCTATGCGTATGTGTCACACTGAGCTTATGGTCCTCAGCATCAATTCTCAACTGTTATTTTCTCGTTAATAATAATAATCGTTATATGAATTGTTTTTGGGCGCCTTAGCATGAAATACTCGGTATATTGCGCCCGTATGTATCATAATGGAAAATGTTTAATAAATAGGACATAAATATATCCGAATTATTATAGAGGTATTCACCCAACGTTGAATCTTGTTCGCCCCCCGACTTACGTTTTTCATCGTTGTTGGTTAGTAGAGATCCTATTTTTCCCTAATCTTTTTTTTTGCTATAATAATAGCAATAAATATTCTTGCGAATCATACAAAATCATGGCAATAATATAACACAACAGAATGGATAGCGTTAGTGACATTTGTGGGTTGTACGGACGTAAGCATACGATATGTTTTTCTAGTCTAGTAAAAATCAATTACTAGGTGTACTAGAGACTTCGTATTAAAAAAAAATAGAGTAATTCAAGCCACATTTAAAATCCAAGAGTTTGTTCCGTGAAGAATAAATATCAAATGCGTAAGTTTGGATGTAATAACAAACCGTAACATAGTACACCCTTCCGGATAGAAATACACATCTTTTATTAGGGAAAGCAGAAAGCGTGGTCAAAGTCTCCGATGAAGCCAATCAAATCTATCTTTATGCCCCACTATCCCAGTCACAACAACTCGTTGCTCTGAGTTCAGTGACCTTAAAAAAGTTAAGGTAGCTCGCTTTTTTTTGCATGAGGCCGTTTTTAAGGTCAAAAGTGGGTGTTAACAAACAAAAGTGGGTGTCAAAAATCGCTGTGGATGATACTTTCTAAACAACTGCAAAATGTTGGATTAGCTCTGAATTAGTTGCAATTGGCATGTAATATATTATGGCAAATTTTTTTCATAGCAAAGTTGTTACTGAAACCAATACTGCAAAAGGTAACGCCAATCAAAATAAACTCTCATTCAAAATAAAATAAATTCTGAAATATATAAAAAAAAATATATTCTGAAATAATGTTTCGTTCTTAGAAATAATGAGGTGAAACACCTCTGTCATACTAGCAATTAGTCCCATCCGCATTATTGCGTAACCCCCTTGCCTCAAAACCCCTCGTGCCTCGTTCAATACAAGGCTGACGTATGAATTTTCACATTAAGTTGCCACAGATCTCACTATGCTGTCCCCGGACCAACGGCGTACAAAATGCGCTATTTAAAACTCATAGAACAAAAAGAACGGCGTGTCATACGTAGCCGATAGAAAGTTGTTTTCAGCAGTGCCGGCGTTAAACTTAAGTCAGCCGAATCTAAATCCCCGAGAAATTGTTAATTTTTAATCTGGCTTTGGAGTATAGACGGCAGTTTTGTTGGGCTTTGCGGTTCATTCGAAATTATCTTGCATCCGTTTTCAATTTAATTGTCTCTTTAGTATAATTGTTATCTCTTCTTTATTTATCCAGGTCTAAGCACATTAGCCGCCCCGACAGACTTACATGTTATAAAATAGTGACTACCCTGTAACATCTTCAAAATGGGCCTCAAGATCGTTAATGAACTTGATATCTTCCAGACCTATAAGGTTGAGACTATAGCATTGCAAGCACGTTCCAAAAGAAAAAACCCATTCGAAAAATTCATACCACAGAGATTAGCTGGAAAAGCATGTCTCTGATTAGTGTGATTATGTACGTTTTCATATTTTATATAAATTAATAATATTTTTATTTATTTATTTATATTATATATATATATATATATTTCTTAATTCAAACATATATATATATATATATATATATACATTATAAATATATTTGAATTACTATGTTCCTCGAAGTGAAATGTAGATCTTTCTGATTCACCCTTGCTTACCAACTGATCACCCTTTCTCATTCTTCTTTGAAGTTTACTGGTCTTTTTGGTGACAATATCTTTTCTTCTTTGCCCATCTAAATACAAAATGATCACCAGATATAACAGGTTTAGAAACGATAGCTTAGACCATATTTAGTATCTATGTGCATACGTGCAAAGGAAGAATGATTAAGACTGATCCTTTTAATAAAGAAAGACATAATACTGATGTATAATGAAGTGGTAGACCACTCTTTTCTGAGGAATAGTCAGTAGCATGCATGGCGTAGCCTTTCCACACTTACAACATCAAATTGCTGGGATTATATCTGACAACAATTTAAAAAAAACTCCGTCAGAAGTAGAACAGGTTCTGGCCCACATCTCCGCAATGGAGCCCTCGAAATCTGAGGTTGTCAACTAGATTCTTTTGGCCAAAAATAGTGACAGCCAATCACTGTCATGAGAACTCTCATCGCTTCTGCTTAGATGAATGCTCGGGCCGTCGATATGGGCGATTCACCAGAGGGGTCGCACAACTTTGACTCTGCAAAAGCCGAAATTGTAACTCGAATTCTCAATCTTCATCGTATAATTACACAATGATTTGCTCGAACCCAGTTAGGTTTGGCTAAGAGTCGTAGATGAATATATTAGCAGGGATAGAGGTAGCAAATAGATGCCGGTTCGGCCTGCAAAAATTTTTCTCGACACTACCTAATTACGCCGCGATCCAGCTGACACAAACTGAGTTTAGTTATTTTTCTTTGAAGGTTCTTTATTAATATATATGTTAATAATATATGTTATATAACATTTTGGGGTAATAACACCTTCCATAATAACACCAGAATTTAGAAGCGACAGTCGCTCTAAGCGACCCTGAAAGGTGGTCAGGGTATGTGACAATATACGAGCCGCGGAATAAAGCGAAGTAAGAACCTGTGTTCCATCAACCGAGTGTGTTCCATCTGTGGTCGGTAAAAACGAAATTTTCTAAAACAGAGTACATCATATACGTACCTTCGACTGCGGACGCAGCTTCGCAAGTAAATGGGAGAGACCACTCCTGATGGAGGTCCCCGACCGCTGTTTATCGCTTAGCGATTCTAGTCCCTGGTGAAATAAATATGATTAAGTATTGAGTACACACAAGAATTACGTCACGTGTAAACAAAATCGACGGTTATATGATGGCCTGACTGCTCGTATTTTATGTTAGACTGTGCCAATAATATTCAATATGTCGCGTTCCTTTTATTCCCTTCCGCAAGGGACTGTGAGAGAGATATGCTAATAATACTACCGACGTTCCACAGCAAGTCTCCGGTCATATAGAAACCGGTGGAATATCACAGTTATATCTGTGTCCACGTCGTTGCCTAATGGAAGGTAATTATGTACAGTTCCCTCCTCTTTTCCAAAGAAAACATTTTTCGTCACTAAATTGATTCTTGCCGCGCCCCATGCAAAAATACCCATAAGTAAATCTTTGATGACTGGAAATACCATGTTACAGAATTGTTTTAATAGATTTTAACAGCAGCCTTAAGATAGATTTTAATAAAAGCCAGAAGCAACAGCGCGCCTAATGATTTCATGACAAACCATAGAAGCGACAATAAAAACAAACGTTTGCGTTATTTTCCAGCCACTTACTTTGATTGCCTGGTGCAACTGGCTCTTTAAGCGGCTCACATCACTCCGATGCTCTATTTCAGAGGTTTCAAGTTCATTTGCCAGGAACGCGTTTCGTTCCTTCTCACCTTCCAGCTAAAAATACACAGAAAATTACTTTGAGAGCTGTCCAGTAGAATGATCCATAGAAGAACATGTTACAACAGATAAGCAATAGCAACGACTGTTAAATGTAAGAATGTCTACATTAACAGATATAATGAAATACTATTTTGCATAAAGAAACGAACTACCAGCCTTCGTTAGCAGTTCTTGAAGGTGACTCTCAAGACGATCAATACGTTTGTGAAGCTTCAGGTTAACTGCAACAACCTTCGAGTTATCCACCGTTCGCGTTCGTATTTCGTTTTCGAGTTGTTCTACCTTTACCCTTAGCTCCTCGTTTTTATCCTTCGCCTTCTGCAGGAGTTCGGCTCCTTCGAGAAGTTCTTCTCGGAACTCCTTTATTTCGGCCTCTTTGTTGGCTAGTTGTTTTTCTAGCTGCTCAATTTTATCATAGAGATTCGCCTGCCCAACACTCTCCGTTTCGTTTCTGATTGAAGTACTACTTGTACTCGCGAGATTCGTTGCTGAGCTACCACAGCTTATAAGGTACCGGTGCCTAAAGTCATCGACTAAAGGTTCTTGGCCGGCGCGTTTCTCCTGAACTCTTTTTGCTTCTTTGCGTAGTCGCTCGCAGCGATCCTCAAGGTCCTTTACCAACGTCCGGTGAGTGATTAGCTGTTGCCAAAGTTCCTGAAAATGTTTGTTTTCAAGAGCGTAAAAGTAATGCTTCTTATAGGTTCGTATTTGCACTTAGCCTTGTCTCCCTTTTGCCTTGATGCTCTAATTAATAGCTTACCTCAAGAATATATCTCTTGATTCTAGTATTACAGCGGTTATATTTCTACGAGCTTTTCCGTTGTCAAAACCAAACACTACACGAGGCCGACAGAGAAAAGTGCCCCCAATATAACAAGGATTAGTAGCTACTATTATCAATATTTCAGAAAACTTAATACCCAAAATTTTATGGCTGTAGTAATATCCAGGGCTTCCAGACCGGTTTAGGTAGCCTAGTTTAAAAAAGTATAAACATCAGGCGTCAATAGCTGTTCAACAGCTTGTTATTCTGCGGAGCCACAAGAGAATATTTGAAAATAGAGTGCCTTCTAACTTGCATACAATACAATAAATCTGTAAAACGCCAGCAAAAAACACGAAAAAGCTTACCGCATTAGAAGGTGCTTTATGATAAAATAATTTTTCTTGCGCTTGTGTAAGCTCGATTTCCAGATCCGTAACACGTTTTTTAAGGCTGGCCGAGAGGGCGCTTTGTAGTTTCAGTTCTCGCTGCAACGCGCGAATCTTCTGTTCAGCAACACTCTCTTCCAGCAGCCGAGAGCAGCTCTCAGAGTCTTTATATGCACCGGCATATTCCAGCCTAGAAAACGCATATTATTCTTGTTCTGATACTATCATATATGAAATTTATAATTATCCGATTTTTTACTGTAACATCCATGAATATTCAGTGATTCTAAATAAAGCTACGATAATTATTTTAATTGGAACAGCTTCCTAGGCAAGCAATCATCGTTATTATTACGATAGGCCTATGGTCTGGACTGCACGGGTTCTATTAGCACTCAGCCTTTTTCCTCCTCCCTTCATATTTAGTACTCATAATTTTCACAATAGATCCCTTACTTCCACTGAGTTTTTCTATATACATATATATATATATACATGTTAAGTCTAATTATGATTTTAAATTTGGCGGGATCACATAAACCCAGAAAATTCGTAGAGTGGCCAACTCCTTAAAATCCCCTATACAATTTTCCACGATCTCTCATATTATTTTATAGTAGAGAGTTAAGTTTTTCAATTTCACCATACAACTCCCTAGGCCTAGTAAACTAGGCTCATATGGGTTAGCATTATAAACCCCAAAGTATTATGCAAATCAAAGAAGTCCTGATTCAGCACGCTTCAACAATTGATTGCTTAATTTGTACGCACGATTCGGCTTCATTCACCATATAGTCACCGCCGCTTTTTGCCATTTCTTTGACACACTGCGTCGTTGAAAATGAATAGATAGAATTCGTTTGAAATATTATTGTTGTTAGTTCTCTTAATTCGTAATTGTTTTCGGTAGGTTCTAATGTCTGACATATAATCAATGGGTTAGGCCTCGAAAAACTATACTGTGCGGCAAAGATTGACAACTAAAATTAGGTGCGCATGCGCCTGTCTAAGGGCCTGCTACTGCTAGCCGTCCTGTGTATTTCTAGTCTAGTAAATAACTGTTTCAAACTTTCCATCTAAACCTGATCGAACTATAGAAATTTAAGCTTTCTAACGTTAACTGGGTGCAATTCGACAGGCTAATTTTATAAGGAACAGGTATTACATGTGACAATTGTAGAATGTGTGTGTGAACAGAGTTTTCCAAGAGTTCGCAGACGGATTTCCCTGACACCCTAGGATTACAGAACCTAGTTCAATATATATATATCATCACGTGCGTGCAGGCAGTTTGAGGCCATTAGCAGGACGAAAGCCAGTTCTATTATATGAACGTAGCACAGGAGTATTCTAGACTCATGCTCTATGTCGTAGTGCGATGCCTTTGCGTTTTATCTGTCTTTAGCTAACTGCTAGTTGTCTTTTAATGTTAACTGACAAGCTAATGGTGAAGCCAGCTAACGTATTGTACATGCAACTAGGACACTGCATGCATTTGCTAACTACATTTCAAATCTAATGAAAAGGTGGCCACAGCTGTCTCTGTCCTAAAGCGTTATATTAGCCTGGGCCATAGCGGCGCTCTAATCAATAGCCTATCTTAACACCTTATTATACCTCTTGGTATTAGAGCAATTTTGTATCACGCATTTGCAACCAGGACACCCTAATGCTATTTTTATATTACTGTATTAGAGGTATACTACGTAGTATAGTATAGTACTATATGTCTTCGGACGACTGCAATCGAATTGTTTTTTTTTTTTGTTCATTTTAGTTTTAAGCGTCAAGGCACTTTTTCGAAATTATTCTGTTATTTTTGGTTTACTCAGTAGAATAAGTTCATCTAGATGAATACCCGGCTTCCACGCTTTATTTCATGCACTGCCCTGAACCAGGCAGATACGTAAACGGTTCTTAGCGCACTCGCAATTGTATTATTTAGCATCGGAAGGGTGTTACGGGAAAAATTGTACGTGCCGTGTTTTTCGGAAAATGAACTATTTCGTACCCGTTGCGCAGAATGGTGCGCTTTAGTTGTTCCGTAAGCCACTCCACTGAGATCGGGTAGGAAAAATTTGTGATCTGTTAAAGATTTACCCACCACGTATAGAGGTATCTCAGATTAAAAGCATTTATCGCTGCCTATACTAGGCATCTTTTCATTGTACGGTACAGATACGGCTTTCCACTGTGATCCTATTTACAATCTATTCAAAGGGTTCTATTATAATTATTTGGTTATACTAGGCCACTCATAAAAGTGTTTATGGGAAAAAATGGAAATTCTCAACCGATCTATCCGAATAATACTGTTTGACTAACGCGTTTTTGTTTAAAGTTTTGAACATAGAAAACGCTTCAGTAGATGTACAATTCTACGAAGTACATCCCTACTAATACAACGACAAATTCATCCTTACGTTGGCGAGAAAGTCCGCACTGCTTATTGAAAATTTAATTAAAGGTTAGTAAATGTGCTTTACAATCGGCTCGGGACCTGATGTAGAGGCATAATTCCAAGACTTACATATGATAACGTCATCGCTGCACGAAAAATCGCTGAGCGACCCACGTCGTTGAAAACTGAAGTTGGTGCTAACTTAAGCGACCTGAAAAAAGACCTTTCCATTTATCAACAGGTGATTTTACGATCCTCAAAAAAAACAACATCTTAAAATTAACAATGAAATATAACTGTACAAATTTTTTAAGTAAACAGTTTATGCATATGCCCTATGTGCATCTATCGCTCAATTCGCCACCCGGTCATAGTGAACGACGAAAAATGCTCGAATTCGGAATGGAAAAACAAATAAGATAGCTTGTTCAGGATCTAAGCCGCATAGTGGATCACGTGCTTATGTTAATCAGGACCTTTTGTATGGCGTATATTTAACAACGAAGATATCTAGACTTTTTAGGTAGGATACCCCGGATAGACACATATTGTTTCTTGTTGGGTTTTTGCCGTTTGATACAATGATTAGCGGCCGTTTAGTGCAGCTGCAAATGACCAACTTTGCTCTGAACTGAAAGGCTAAGTAATACTCGTATCGCCAAACCCTTTTCCTCATTTGAAACATTGTACTTAACAGGGTAAACTCCAACTTCATATTAGCATACTATTCAGTTAAAATAATATTGTCTCTCATTAAGAATACTATCTTTAATGTTTAGAGTAATTTTTCAGTCGCTTTTCTGACTGATGACATGTTCAGCTAAAGTTTCCTTTTATACTTTTCACCGTATGATGGACTCAGGACCAAATAAACCTGAACTTAAAGCACGATACTTAAGCATCGCAACCTAAAGTTTAATGAGCAAGCCCCCATCCAACGTTCGTGATTAGAGAAAGCGTAAGGCTACTTAGAGGAAAAGTGATCAGGACGAAATGCTCTACAATAGCAGTTAAATGTAAGAACTCGAGGTCCGTTTTCGAGCTACAAGTTGTGGCAACGGGCAAACGGACCGGTTTCGATCGAGGCGAAAACGTTCAAATTTCTTGACTCCCTATTTCTATTATATATTTATTGCCTTTTCTTTTCGAGCTAACCGTCGCACCGATAATTTGCAATTTTTAATGATTTTTTGTAGAATTTTAGGTGTGTGCAAGGTTTTTTATGGTGAGCCCATATTTCGATTGGTTTCATTATTTCTACTCTAAACGATCAGCATTTTTATCATAATTCGGAATAAACAATTTTAAGATACAAGTGTGGCAATGAACCGTTAGTTATCAAACTGTTACAAGCAGGTCCAGCGGACTTTGAAATTAAATATTTTTTAATAATTGGCCTAACAATGAGAGTTTTTTAATTAATTCTCTACACACAAACGCTTATATTTGCCGTTCAGGTTCCCATATGTATGTTTTCTTTCTATAATTTCTCGAAGTAGATCATCATAAGTGAAATGTGTTTACTTACCAGTTGCCCGTTTTAAGACATGTAATAACACATACTTAGGGAAATTAAGCGGCTTGAGGCCGACGTTTTTTTTGTTTTTTCTTTGCTTCGTTCAGGAAGTAAGTGAAGCATGACGATGAGGTCTGGCGTTGTCTTCGATCAACCAAACTACGTGTTTTTGATTGCTGTGCCAACGATTTATGAGAACGGTTCATCTATTGAAGAACTTGCGATAGCGGGTTTCATTTCTGACGAGTATCTCGTAATAGTAAAGAACCTATTATGTCCATTGTCTATGCCTGAATCTGAACCTACTCGATTACATGTCTCAGAGTTCAATAGGAAAACACGTTATTTCTGCACGACGACGGGGCCATTTCAATACACAGTCTACTTCGTCCTGCTGTAGAGATGTGCCTATGAGCACTTTATGCTCCAAATTAAAGCTACGGTCGAAACGAATAGCGGTTGCATTGGACGAAGATGATCATCAGGGACTTCTCTGTTGACACATAAAAGAAATATCACCTAATTAGCCGTTTTCAGCTCAATCACTATTGATTTATTAACAATTTATTGCAAACGCCATGTACACAATGCTTCATATCACAAGGCTTTGCTCATTTATTAACTATAACGTAAACGGGTGTTTACACAGTTCAAGATTCAGTACGTAAGAAACAGTTATCGTCTACAACAAGTTTCCTTTCAATGGTTCAAAACAGCCTAATCGCCTCTAATCGAACTGATTTATGTTATGTTATCTTTTACATCCTAAATCTGTTCGATACGGTAATTCGTTAGGGTCCTGTTGGCCAGGTTAGGTCGCGTTACTATTGAATGCGTCTAGTCAGACTTTGGCCTGTTTATGGAACTTTTTAGTGTAAAACACTATGATGTTAACAGAGAATAGTGCATTTAAAAGATTTACAATTTGTTAATAATAAAATGAAGCGCTCCATCTAGAGCCTAACCAATTCTAAACGAAAATGAACGAAATAAACCATAGTAGTGTTGTTAGGCCACGCCACTCCTGCAAGTTGGACAAGCCTTATGTCCTGTTAAGTATTACTTTAAAAATTCAAGCAAATATATTGAAAAAATGCAAATCTTTCGAAAAGAATTTTAAATGAATTTTTGTTCTTAACCAATATCATGATTACCGCCCTGTCCGCGCCTTCAGGGACCGTGCCAAATTAAGTATACGTGCCAAATTTAACCTATATAAATTGTCACATCCAGTAAATGCGCGCTGTCGCAAGCTTACGAGATTTGCCATTTACATGTATAAAATATGTGTATGTGCATCTTTTTTATTAAATGCATTATTTCGTGTATTTACATTCCGAATTTTACCAAATTTAGGGCAAATCCCAAGTAGCGGATAATGTCGGCGTAACGGAAGTGGAACATATTATTGCACGACAGTGGCCTGGCTTATCGGTTTTCTCGACTGATTACATCGTCGAACTTCGTAATTATTCCTGGATAGACAACTTGTTAGAAAATCGGGCTCTGTACCAAACCATACGAATCGCGAGGTCCACCGCTGGCTCATTAGAGTAAAACTTATATTTATCGAGTCTATTCGTCCTTTTAAGGCTCTGCCTCCACGAAATCCATATGTGGCGTCACACAAAACGATACATACAGTTTCTCTCACTTGACATTCGTATCACTCAACATTCGTATGAAATAAACTGTGGCCGGTATTGTGGTATAAGCCGTATTGTTTCATCTACACTTCGGGGTATCGGTAAAGGGTCAACGGTGCCAAACCCACCTGAGGCGAGCAGCATGCCCCCATTGCCCTACATCCCTCGCTAGAATTTCGGCTTTGATCAAGTCGTTAGGTGAAAAATGCAAAAATGACTAGTCTGTTATAATAGGAAATACCTTTCGCAGCTCGCATTTCGTGGCTCTATGGACCACAGACGAGGGAAGAGTTCCTTTAATTTGCCTAATGCACATGCCACGGTTAGCGCTAGACGTAGCCTGCTTCCAATCGAATCTCGTGATGTCTAGAGCCGTTGTTATTGGCAATACTTCTGCATCCATCAATCAATAACGTGCCCGTGAATATTTTAAAAAAATACGATTTTTGTCTGCTAGACATTATCAGGTAAATTATCGAATCCGCTAGGTTATAAAAATATGTACACAAAAATAAATTAATTCATCCTATTACGCACCATACGAATCGTGGTGCAAAAAGCTAAATCAAGATCGATGTGCTAAATCAAGTGCGATGTCGACCACTTATTAATAAAAATTTATTAATAATAAATACTTCGTTCATTTTCCTAATGAAAATAAAGCGGTCAAATGCATTCACTGATTTCTTCACTCCATTGACATAAACACTTCGATGCTACCGTTTCGATGCCCACAACGAGGACGATGGTACAGAGCCCGCTTCGTTTATAGGCTATGATCGACCAGCCACAAACTGCTAAGAAGCGAAGGTATTGAATTAGATATCGATTTGTGATCTCACTCTACTCAGCACGACACCTGTATGGGTTGCACGCTTCCTCACAGATGGATTTCTATAGAACACTGGTCGAAAGCGGTATTATGAAAAAATGTTGTTATATTCTGTACAAATATCGGTGCCAGTAGAAAAAAAAAACTCTGTTGTGCTTCTATTTAAAAGGGTTCGGCCATTTTTTCTACGTAACTGGCCGAAATTAGTAGTAGTAGTAGTAGCAGCAGCAACAGCAGCAGTAGTAATAGTAATGATAATACTAGTGGAAAACAGTCGATTACTGAAACGTAGCAACGATAAAACGGTGCAGGGCATTTGCACTGCGTCTTAATACCGCTATTCGACGCGTATCATCCCCAAAGTCAACAATGCCCGTTTAACTCATATAAGCATGGACCCTGTAATCCTTGGTGTTCGTGGAGATTACGAATCACTTTGGATATATCAACGAAACCGAAATTGGTAGTCGAGAGATTCTGAAGAGATGCAGTGAAAAGGAAAACATCACCATAGCTAGGACTTTGCGAACGATCAATCATTACAGTCGGTGGACAGCCCGCGACATTTGAACTGCCAACCAATTCTGGCTACGGGCTTACTTCCGAAACGCAATAATCCGCACAATGACTCTACTATTGTTTACAATACAACAACAGCGAGAAAACCTTGTCTCCGCGGCCAACGGAGCGAGGTACGAGTCTCTCATTGTCGAGCCCCTAGCGTCATCAACTTGCAGCGAACAACAAAATTTCACGCCATCTTCATTCGTAAGGATTAACAGCTTTCTCCTTGACCAGAAATACGTTGAAAGTGTTCCAAGAACACGATGAATCCTAGCGGGTGATCATTACTGGCAAGCTCATATAATGTTATCGTTACAGTTCCAACCTTGAAACCTAACCATTGTTGCAATCAATCTCGCAGCCTAAAAAGGATTAATTAGGGCGTGGAGTGTGACAAGAGTATGCCAGTGAAGTTTTTCGATGAAGGTCAAACAGTATTTGTCTACGCAAAGTCGCTTACGAGGAGTGTCAGCAAAAGACGCCGCATGCTGCCAGTGCGAGACAGGGTACATTTGCATAGAATTGACTACTAGATGATTTCTACTAGATGAGACCGTATGACAACAGTTGTTAGGTACGAAAACTACGACATTGGATCCTTTTTCGCGCTGAAAATGAACATTTTTTTGGGTGTATTTCTATTTACCCGTTTGAAAGACGGCCAGACTGAAAGTATATACTTGCTAAATCAAGCTTACACATTAGAATCGTGTACAGATGAATATGCATTATTT